TCCGTAGACTCATTCTGAAAGAATTATGAAGAGATCTCAATCTACTTAAAGAATTTCAGTTATAATATTTTTGCGCGATAATTTCAGTTTTAATAGCCCACTCTTAAACTTAATAGACAAAATATAATTGCGCAAAAGGCTCAGCTAATTTTGGTGTTATATATTCCTCTTCTGAATTTGTAAATTCATCAATAATTACTTCATCCTCGAACAACATCTTGGCTATTTGTTTAATTGATTTTAATTAACACACCAATAATTCATGAATAACTAAATATAATATTTTCACTTCAATTCTTTCCACACACAGAGCTTTCTAAACAACCATCGTATTTTGGAGACGAGCCGGACCTCCTGTTCAAAAACGCGCAGGGCCGGAATAGTCTATTTTCAACGTGTAACGGTGTTGCAGCCGCCTCCGCCGCCGCTCCAGCAACCGCTGCCGCTCCAGCTACCGCTATTCCATTATCAATACACGCAGCAGCCAAAATTAATTTAGAAACCTCGTTAAATGATTGCGAAAGTGGCTACGTGCCAACGGTTGGCCGTTGGGGTGCCGAATGGCCAAGTTGACTCGCCGAAGCCAGCCTGGTGCGATGTGGCGCCACCGCCGCTAGCGCAGCAGCTGTTGAACCAGCTGTTGTTGCAGGCGCCGGCGCCAATGCCGGTTTATCGGCGGGTGCGGTACGAGTTGGATTGACTACGAACACCGTTCCTGTTCAAGATAGACCACAAAACAACAACGGCCAACGAATTGTTGTCGCTAAACAGCAGCAATGCAGCGTGCACAACAAGACTTGGTCGCCCGACAACCACCATGATGTTGATGAAAGCCAAGTGGATAATGTTAACGACACTGGTGGACGGTGTGCTACAAATGGTGATGATGCAGTTGACGTCACAGACGCAGCAACAACAGTTGACAGTAAATACACCGATGTGGAAACTGTTGTGGCCGGCGCTGCCGCTTCCGTCACCGATATGGTTCAACAAATTGGCAAAGTGGATAATATGACATCCAATGCATCGTTGGAACGCTGCGCCAATATACGTAAATTACTTGAGCAACAGCACCGCAAGTGGTGGCGCAATCAACTGCAGGGCCAACAAGAGTGGTGGGCCGATGCGGACAGCTACAATTTAACTGCATTCAATCAAATCAATGGAATCTGGCCGCTTGGACATCCGCTACCATTGCCCGATTGGGCAGCGACTTGCGATGATGAACACAGCAAGGGAATATTAAACTTCGATTCGGTTTGGGAATATGAGGATCTAAATGCGATTATTGAGACCAAATTACATCGTATGCTTGAAGAGACACATTATGATACAGTTAATTTATTCGTGGATTTTTATCGCGCCTTCAAACGTACACGACGCTCGGATCTGAAATCATTCTTCCAATTCTACGATTTACCCATCAATAGGCGTCATCACATGTGTGTTTCACTGGCTATGGAGATAATGACACGCATCATTGAGATCTTTCCAGTATTACAGCATTATCTGTATCTGGTTTCGTGCGAGGAACAGGTCATGTCACAGAGTGACTACATTGAAGGCACTGAAGAAGTGGGTGGACTGAACTCGCCACATGCCAATGTCGAGAAAGAACACGCTATGGTAGCTATGAAGATTTCTATTGCCGGACGTGAAGGTGTAATGATATTGGATCCGGGTTATCATATCGGACGTGCTGTAACCGTGATGTCGGACCAAATGTATCCACATACGGGTAGGTTGAGACATTATTATAATTCTATTATACTAGGTTATTAAACAAACATCCTTTGCTTACGATAACAACATCTTTTATCACACAAATTTTGCTAACAAAATGTTTTTCTTCTACTGCGTAGGTTGGTTCACACAGTCGAAAGAAACGCATCTGCAACGTGACTATTGTTACAATTATTGTCTGCATAGCAAGAAGTATGTTGAATGGATGGAACGTGAAACACGTGGCGATGAGCAGTCTTTCAAATCGTCACTCATTTACATTGAGCAGCCCTATATGACCGCCATCGATGTGACAGTGCGTCGTAATTTGGCGTACAACTTCCGTTCGCTGTTATCACGTGATGCAAAAGGACGCGTATTCGCAGGTATTTACCTGCCGGTTGTGCCAAACTGCAATGAGTCACATTTCACCATATTCTACGATGGACCGAATGACCAACGCGTAAAAGTTAAATTCATGTTCAATGTCTTCAAAAATCCATCGAAGGTAGAATAAATTTGTTTGTAAACCTATTTTTCGCAGTTGTCACAAACTTTTTTCTTTTTATTTCTTTTTTCCTTATCCATAGATTCCAGACAATGTGCAACAACATTTGAATAAATTGGCACCGCAGTTAAATATGAAGGAAAAGGAGCTAACTGAACTTTGTAAATCCTTAGCCGAGGTTATAAATGACCAGGACTTCGTGAGGCAATTATTGGCTATCAACGAGGAAATCGGCATTATGTCAGCTGAAAATTGACAATTAAAGGATAAGAAGGTCGATGCTGATCTGAAGGGTGTGGACGACAACAAAACATCCAAATCGAGTGGCACAGCAACAGCCACAACGACGATGAAAATAGAATCAGCCAGTATGAGCTCAGCATAAACTTAAATATTTTTTTCTGCAACTTAAATACATATTTTCACTGCATACTCATAAAAAAATTTGAAGTATAACAAAATAGTACATAAAAAATATATGTATATGTAAACAACAATTTTACGATTCTTCATAAAGCACTTAAGAGAAACAACAAAATTAAAGCATGAAAAATTAAGGGTACATATAATCATATATGGGGCTAATAGTTTACTGGTAGTTTGAAAATATTTATCCTTAACTTTAAACAAAAATTAATTATTCCACATATGTATACACAGCTATGTAACTCTAACGAAAAAACTATGTACTGTATACATGAGTGCAAGGTATTTGGAAAAATCAAACCATATAGTTTAGTTTTTACAGTATAGACGACGATTAAAAATTTATAAAAGTATCTTTTCACAACGTAAATATGTTTTACAATTAATTAATTAATAATATTTTCATTTAACGATCGCTTAGAGCTTAACTTTAAAGCTAACTATGGATATCATGTCATGCGAGTTTTAAGCACCTCAATAAAAAAGCAATGTTTGTAGTATTTTATTGCGAACAGCGTATTGCCCACATTTAAGAATCGGAAAAAAATAATATAAAAAACATTTAAATCACGTTTGTAAACGATATAATGGCAAGCAAATAGGTTAAAGCATAGACGATACTTTCAAATGCAAGCTTGCAGCAGTATAGCAAACATGCACACAAACACCTTCACACAAAGACATGATATCCATGGAAATGCAGTAAACCTTGTATGCAGTAAACTTGTAACTAACCCAAAAACTTTGCCTATTTATACACCCGCATATTATATTGTATTATTATTATAATGGTCATACTTTAATTTAGTGTTTCCAGTAAAAAAAAAACAAAGAAAAAACAAACTGAAAATGAAGATGAAGAGGAAGATTGTGGAAAATTATTCTTTAACAACATATATACAAGTATATTAAAGAAAAAACTTATGTAATGTACTACATACCTTATAAACTATGCACGAAATAAACTTTGAGCAAAATAAAAAAAGAAACCGCTTTATTATTTTGAAAGAATTATTTAGCGCGTAAGTACATAAGGCTTTGGTGTTGTTGTTGTAATAGCTAAGAAGCAACCCAAACTCTTTTGGGTAATGCTGTAAGGATGTTAGCAATTTTTTCAATACTTTTACATAAACGAGCCATTAAATACAAAAATTTTGACTCATTTTTAATAATAGCGCCCACCCGACAATTGAAAACATCGGATTTTTGAGTAATTATTCAAGGACCTTCTTCCTAATGTTGACCTTAAGCGATAGGAAGATAATGTGGAAATGTTCTCAGCATTGAATCACAAACAAAAAACGATATTATTCACAATGCAGTCTGTCAAGTAAAGGGACAAAGTGCTGGTTTTCGGGCAGGTTTTGCGATTCACTTCCGGTTGAATTTCAAACCCCTTTAATTTTGAATTCAATGTGACTATGGTGGAAATTCTCCCGGAAGCGAAGTGCAGAACCTGCCTGATTATGGCCAAAATACAAAAAGAAGTTGCATAATTGGTTAAAGACGCACTTTAAGCATTCAAAAGGGAAGACCCTGGCACTGAGGCAGATAATTTTTTATTGCTTTTATTGTCCACATCAAGATATATCCAACTCAATAAGTGGGAAGTGGGAGTGTAAATTTTTTTGACATTCAACTGAGATGGCAACGTAGCTGAAACTGCTGCGCACATACTCCTCGAATATAAAGCAGAAAAGGAGCAAAATACCACCGGTCATAAGGCCCGAAGTCAAATAATGCGCAGTCGATATGGCCAAACAAACTATTAGATTTCCCAAGCGACCTAAAACTGAACGAGATGATATAAAGAGACAGAAGGCACAAAAGATCCCCTGGTTGCATTGCATACCACAAAAAAAAATCTATTTATCTATCTAAACTAAATGGAGTTGTTTTAGTTATGGTTCGAAATTTTAATTTTGTTCAATAATTAAGAATTAGTAATCTCCAAACATAAATGTACTTACCTGCAAGCTGGCACCTTATTTCCTTTCTTTACTTCCTTGGAGTGATTTATGTATATCCGGGCTACACATCCTTCGCTGTTACTTTGCTCGATGAAAATTCTACCAAATTTCTTATGGAAATAAGTTTGCATTGAATGCAATAATTTAAAAATCACTTCATACAATCACAATTTTACACAGCTTAGTTAAATTTTTTTCACAATTTAAAACAATTTGCCAATTTTTCACACAACTAATATTTCCGGTTGCCACTGACTGACGCTTCCTCCGCGAATTTACTGACTCGTGCGCCATCTTTATTCTCCAGCAGTAAAATATGCTGACGTTTCCCTTGACAGCAATTAAAAAGCAGCCAACTTTCCTCGTCTACGTGGAAAGAGGAAAAACGAATGAATTGCCGATTGGAAGAAAAAAAACGAAATCAACGACAGCGAATTGTCACTCACGGCGAAATCTTTATTTTTTGGAAAGCAGTCAATTGGTTCGTTGGTGTTCCATTTGGTCAGTTGTAAATACGTGCTTTTATATACGATTGTCGCAGAATTGTTTAATAATTTTACAACAAAATGGTAATATATAAAAGGACAGTATGTGGTGAAGTGTATGCAATGTATAAATTTGTTTCTCCATTTGCAGCCTGCACCAGCCAGTTCAACCTCTGTGGGTAGTGGTTCACGCTCGCCAACGAAAATCTCAGCGCCACGCAGCGCTGGCGCTGGTGGTAGTAACCTGAAGCAACGTAAGACAACAAGTAGTACCACAGCAGCTAGAAGTCGCACCACTGGCGCTGGCACTGGTGGCATGTGGCGATTCTACACCGACGACTCCCCCGGTATTAAAGTGTAAGTATTTACATGCCAACAAGGCATTTTTGTCAAGAATATTTGGGTCACAACAACAGCCTATTCCGTTGTGTGGACGTGTACTTTCTCTTTTGCAGCACTTAAGAGAAAATGGCACCTAATGCAAATGATTCAAATTTAATTTGTGAAAGTAACTGAAATTGTGTTGAAGATAGATTCTGTTAAAAATCAGTAGATATGGCTAAACTTTCCTCTTAGGATGGTGATTTTAATTCAATTTCTGTAAATTAGCACACCCTCTAACATATGGATTCCTTTATAGTTTATCTTAAACCATAACATTTCGATTGTGAATAATCTGTTTTTATTGCAGTGGTCCGGTTCCCGTCTTGGTGATGTCTCTGCTATTCATCGCCTCGGTATTCATGCTGCACATTTGGGGCAAATACAATCGTTCTTAAGGAAGTTAGCGCAGCGCAAAAAAAGTATGTGTGCAGCGACGACGGCAATATCCATAAAACCATAAGCGGGCACCAAGGAATGTTGACGATAATTTATCATGTCTGTAAGACAGGTGCTCACATTAAGCATCAGTAATGGCCACTTGCTGCTTCCTGCACGCCTCAATAATTTGCACTAATATCCAATATAAACTTTCGTTTTAAGTTTAGCAAACTAAGTTAATTTTTTACTGATGAATTAAATTTCAATACCAATGCCACCTAAAAGTATGCAAGGAAAAAGTTCATTCCACTTTTTTTAGCGGATATTCTTTTGGTAAAACAAATGCGTTGAGATCTACATATATTTTCGATTCAAAATCCTGGTGGTTTTTTGTATGGCTCGCATAAATTGAGTTATCTGGATTTAGCTTACGATTTACGCAATTTTGGTGTTTCCATTAAATCCTTTAGATACTGTTAAAACTAAACTTATAGCCAAATTCTGTATCGGTGGCAAACATTTTTTACTGACAAATTTAAACTTTTTCATATATTTTTCGGTAATAAAAACTGTGACAAGAATTTGTCAGCGATACAGAATGGAGCCGTTATTCGTATGATTTACAAAAGTAGGTACTTGGAAACAAAGTAAATATCATAAGATAATAAAAATAAATTAAAAAAAGTAATTACAAATTATGTGTATTGCAATTATTCTACGAATAACTTAGGGGACGTATTTCAGAAAGCAAATTTTTTACATTCACAAGTAGTTTTGGATCTTTGCAACGATTGTCCATAGCAGTGAGATATGTTGACATGATGAGGTGATGAAAGTCGCTATATTGCTAATGAAAGACAAATAAGCAACTTTTATTATTACATTAAAAGATTTAGAACGAACTAATAACAAAGTGGCAATTCATCTTCATGTACCTCACAATTTTTAATCGAATGCTAATAAATATCATTAATGAATGTGTAGCGCTTGACCTTTTGCAATTGTTCTAATATAGAGGCGTATTCTGGTTTACATACGAATCGAGAATTTGAAATTTTTGTATAGGAAATGATAGGAATATTTCATGATTTTCGATTCGTACGAAAACAAGAATACGCACCATTATATATGTATTTAGGCTAATACAGTAAAAAGTGTAATACTCACACCTATGTTTCGCCATGTTAATGTATAGTCTAACAAAAACGTATTTAAATCATCCGAACACAGCTCTTGTACATCCACAAATGTGGCATTTTCTGGTGTGATGCGCACCTGCATCATGTTTTCCGGCGGCTCGCGATGGTGTGCAAAATTCAAAACAATATCACGACGCTGTGCCAAGCGATTCCAATTGGAGCGTGTAAATGTCAATAGCAAACAATGCAAAGCTATACAGGAGTAGATGTGGAGTTCACAGGCTAAATGTTTCTCAGAAAAATAGCCTAGGAAAAATTAAAAGTTTTAAATGTTTGGCTGAAATCAGCAATAAGTATCCTTACTATTCTCTATATAAAAACGAGCATCGTGATTGGAAAATATATTCAAGAAACGCTCACGGAAACGCTGCGCAAAATAAAAATAAAAGCAAAAACATGCATTTAAAGTTTGTATCGATATTAACTTTAAATTGTTCTGTACTTACCCCTTTCAAGTCTTTCAAATCGGTTACTGGCTCTTTAATGTCCAAGTAAATTTTTCTATTGCGTACAAAACCTTTGGTTGGCTCCGCTACATAACCGCGATAGCCGTTGGCGGAGATATTGATTACACATTTAACATATTGCGTTTCTAGCGTAAAAACTACTTCGCCTTCGCTATACAATATTTCAAAAAAAAAAATATATATATATATTAAATATTACCCGGCTATATTTATAATTTAAAAAATTTACTTTTCCAGATCTGGTTCCACTTTCCAATCTTTAAAAGGGAAATGTTCATAAAGCTTATACGCCAAACCAATTGTGCCTTAATTAAAATAAGTAAATTTGTTTAAACTTTACATTCAAGTTTTTTATGGTATTCATATTATACTTATTAATAATATTTAGATAACATTGTGGTTATTGTAGCGACTTTCTATTTGCCGCACTCACCCAAACGATCTGTCCAAATCGTTATCTTGTGATTTGTTTTATCATATTTCGTTTTCTCAATAAATTTCGTCGTCCAATGTGAATAGCGGAATGTTTTCCTTTTATCTTCCACTTCGGGTCCCGGTAGACTCTCTTTAACATCTTCCAATTCTGATTTCTCTTCTTGCTCCTCCGCTTGATTTGCCGCCTGAACTGCTGACAACTGTTTACGCATTAACAACGCCTGTGTCTCATGTTCCAACCTTAAATGTTCTTTTTCACGCTCTTTTTGTCCTCTCGCCTTTGCCATATCAAGTTCACTCATCCGTATAGTTTTTCCCTTCGAAGTTTTACGCTTTGCCACTGCTATATGTGCTGACAACCGTCCCGTCAATGGCAGGACAGTCGCAGATGAGTCCACTGACCGCGTCGTCGTAGCTATCTTCCTGCGCGTCTTATAAACATTGGCATTAATTTTCTTATCAGTTACTTGAAGGGTTCGCCTGAAACCGGTTTGATAAGCGCTCCTTATTCTATCTAATGTTTGTACTAATTGGGAGAAACTTGTTGGAAATTTAGTCCCCGTAGGCACCGCAGGGTCTGCATTTTCATCACGTATTCGATATTCCATATGCAAAGTTTCGGGACTAACGAAAACAGGAAACATCCGTTCAGGATTGTTTTGGCCATCATATTGGAATTCCTTAACGTCATCTACATCCTCTTCGGAGGGACGTTTACGCAACAATATACCACCTTTGCCCTTCGGTTTGCCACTTTGTTCTTCGGCCGCTTCATCTTGCAATTCCACAGGGAACTTAAAGGAGGAAATAATGCGTGGCAAACAATGCCGCTGTATATTACGTATTTGAACAATAGACAAGGGTAAATCTAAAACAAAGTCTTCAACTTCTACAAAATTTCGTGTTTGCGCCGGTTGACCGTGTTGCTGTGACATACTGGTGAGTGACGCTAATGAGGGTCGAAAGACGTTCGATATTGAACGTCTCATGCGTATAGAAATACTCGATACGGATTGCCTTGGGGTATGTGCAAGTTCTATGGACGAGGTGCCTGTTGATGCTGTTTCTTTTATAAATAATTTACTCTGTTCATCAGTAGCAGCAGAGGGCGTTGGCGCTAGATTTTGTTCTGGCGTACTCACAGTTTCCTTTACGTAACCGATTAAGTCATCTTCAAAATGGCACAATAACGGTTCACCCCAGAGACATAAATAATCTGGTAATTCCATCGAAATAACAAAACTAGGTGTCTCATAATACTTTGGTGGATCAATGAAGGATGAATTTGGTTGTAAACTATTATGCCTGGATAAGCTACGCCTAAGCGAAATTGAAGAACGACTTAAAGATCCTCTATTAGATAAAGATGGCAAAACTGCTTCAGCAATCACGTTTTTGATTATTTGTAATTCGCCATTATTTTCATGCCATGTCATGTTAAAATCGTCAAAATTGTAATGGGTTGGTTTTTTAACAAAATATAATTGATATATTCCGCCGAGTATCGCATATTTTTTTAAATTGATCTACAATTACAAAGCATGTATTTTGATAAAAATGTAAGTACATAGATATTCATACATATTCATAAAAATCGTAGAGCTAATTATTTTAATTACCTCATCTGGCTCCAGTCGCAATGAATCCGGGTGATAGACAAAATCAATGAAATTATTATAACGCTCATTATCCAATTGTAAAAAGTCGTCCCAAATATCCGGAAACATATCATCCGTTATTACAGGCGGTTCCTTGGGCACTTTTATAAGTTTTGGCTGCTTCTTTTTATTTTCATTATCGCTAGCATTGGATTTTTTTAAATTTTCTAATTGTTCCGCTAGTGCGCTGGCGTAGATTATTACAAATTGTAAAAAATTAGATTAAACTGAATCTAGTCATCACTAGTTAATCGAAATTGTTTTTCATAGAAGTGCTTTCAAAGTTTTGAGACTTCGTATCAGTTTTGGTGAACGCTAATCGGATTTACAAATGAAACTTACACGACTTTGTTTTCATATTCCGCACGTTTTTCCATCAATCTCTTGCGCACTTGGTTTTGTAATTCCACTTGCATAAAATGTTCTTGGACCAAGCAATCGTGTATATCTTCAAATAACCAAGGATTTGAAAATGAATTGAATATACATATGTATGTATGTTCATATAAGACTAAAGGTATCACACAAAAAAAAAAAACAATACATATTTGAAATTGCTTACCTGGTGTACCAGCCGACAACACTGCAGTAAGATCTCGAATATCTTTAAAATCTTGCCTATAACTTTTTGCATTCTCACTAAACGGATCGAAAAATAAATGTATTCCCCTTATAGTGAGATTTTCCTGTAGAATCGATAATGGCAATTGTATTTTAATTTTTAATTTATGTAAACATGCGTCGATGCAAGGAATTCTATGGACATCAAAAATATGTAGATATATGCGAAAATGTAGAAGTAAAAAAAGGCAAATAGCAAAATTTTAAATTAATTATATTTGTAGGTAAGAACATACGTATGTATAAATACTCACTCTAAAAACTGGAAATTTATAGGTACATTTTTTAATGTCCATAAGTGCATGCAAAAATTTTCACTTTCGTAAACATATTCAGCTGTGTTGGCATTTACTGAACTTTATACCGAGATTAAAAGTAAAATGTTTGAATACAATCGCAAACGATCTTCAAAACATTGCTTACTCCATATAAGAATCCTCAGATGATAATATCCGATACGCATAATGATCGAAAAACTTGTCTATTTCGTAATAAGCTGCTTTCTTTTGCTATAAAATAAAACAAATATGCACATTTTAAGAAATCTAAAATTTTTTTCATAGATAACTTCTCGTCGTTCGTACCTGCAAAACATCTTCTAAGATGCTCTTTCGTGCTTTAACCATTTTTAGTTCATCATCGGTATAATATTCGATACTTTTTATAATCTACATTAGAAAATAATTTCTTTTCAGTAATCCTCATGTCTAAAGCTTATATTATAGCATCAATTACCTTTAACAACAAATCTATAATTTCTTTATACTCATCCCCGAAATTGGGGCGTAATTCATTAACTAACGCTTTACGCGTCATATTCTTGCTAAATATATCCTGCGTCAAAATACTACCTTCGTCTACAGATAGCTGCCAATCAATGGTTTTTTCAATATTCAATCCTTCGAAATGTCTTAATTTAACAAAAAACAAACGCACTTCTGGGGGTATGTAAGGTTTTGGTAGACCATCGCAACGTAAATAGGTTTTCCACTGGAAGCACAAAAAATTAACATTTTATTCTTATGAAAAATTTGAAATTTAGCATGCCAACCTTCTCCATTAAATCTTCCGCTTCTTTTAATTCGTCCACCCTCATAAAAGCCTCTGTTCAGAATCATTGAAAAGAATGAAACATTTATTTGTATTTTATTTCATTTATGCACATTTGTTTCATGTCCGATGCATCCAAATGACTTGGTAGCTGGATAAGCTCCAGCTTTGTTGTGGATTGTTTTTCGCAGAGTCCTCGACCGGATATACATAAGAAAGTTTATGTAGAAAAATTTCACTTACCATCAATAAAATTACGAACCGCTCGTAATTCCACTAGACGCATTTCGTATTTAGTATCCCGTGCCTGTTGTTCTTCCATCGTCAATAATTTGTATTCTTTTTCAGTTTTTTGTAGATTACCGTCTCGATGGCCTTTTCCTTTTCCGGCTTTCTTTGCTTTTCCGTTTGCCATTTGCGCAGGGTTGTATTTTAGTTGGTCTCGCGTAAAAATTACACCATTAAATTTATCCAATGCAAGTTTTTTTCTATTAATTTGTACAATTTCACATTAAAATTTTGACAATTTTTATGATCTAAAAGAAAATTTTAAGAAAGCTGTTGACTTAAACCCAGCAAGCAATTTCCATAGCATTCAGGGCTTAAAAACAACATTAAAAAAATATGTTTGCCAATTGTCATTTTTCTTCTAGCTGCCAGCCACCTATTTGATAATTTATAGCACTTAGCTTAAAAAGTTTATCGGCAAAATTAGAATATATTTAATTAACTTTTGCAAATTTAACTTTCAGAAAACTTTCAGAAATGCTCATCGAATCGGTTAGGGACCGGTTAGGGCCCAATGCACAACCGGAATCGGTTATAGGGCTTTCGCACGAGGCGATTTTTCTAAACCCACGCAGGGTTGCACGAAAAAAAAATTGAAATGGCTAAAAATATCAACATATAAAAAAATTTTAAAATATTCGCCATAAAAAAGCGTTTGCACTCTTCAACTTTGCATTCTACTTCTAGTCATTCAACTTGCAACCCTGCGTGACCCCTCCTGCGAACACCTTTTTAGGGAAATCAGCGGTTTTGGGATGAAATGCACTACTGGAAATTAACATCTGTTTTCTATTACGAGCGCTGTGGCAACTACCTAGATGGCTCCCGTTCCAGACGTTCCATCTGCCATTTTCAAACTCGTTCATTTCGCTGTCGGTTTTCAAAGAGTGAACTTGTTGGTTTCGCAAAACATGGAAAGGTTACATTTAATTATGGAATTGTTTTATAAAATATTGCTAAAATATCAATTCTGCATGTATTCTGCAACTTTCGCAGCTGCAAAGAAATAAAAGGCCGCAATGATGTGCCGGAAAAGTGGGGATGAAATTACCTATGTAAGTATCTTTATTCCTGCGAGAATCTGCTTGATATACCTTTTGATGATTGTTCTCGTTCTGAAAAAATGCGTTGCTTTTAATTCTCGTAATTAATTTGTATGCATTTTAATTTTTGCGGATAGATAAGAACGGCCAACTGAAGAACCACGTTTTATTAAATGTATTTTTCATTGTAAATTGATTGTAATTAAGCGTTCTTATTTCAGGCAATTCTGAAAAACTGCTTATGTCGATGCATGTGCTATGTGCTCTAATCCCCTGGTAAAAGGTAAGCTATACAATTTTTTAAGAAAATATATGCATATTTGTGTTTTGAGTGATGATAAGTTTAATCATAAGTAAAAATAATTGCTGATTTACAACTTAAAATTAAACCAAAAGGATTCTGATAAAATTATTCTACCATTTGATGGTAGTACTCGTTTGAATATGTTTTAACCAGGTATATTTGTCTGTATTTTTTACAGCCCTTACCCAGCTGCTTGTAAGATGCTTGTAAACCAGATGGCGAATCAGTGGTCACAAAGGTTTGTAAAAAATCAGATTTAATTAACATCCCTAGATATTCACCTTGATGATAACAATAAGCTGAAATAAAATCATGCTGATCACACTAACTATAAACCAAAAGGATACTGATAAAGCTAAAACAATACAATTTCTATGTTTGCAGTTCTGCATGTTAATGGATATTAATTTATTTTGCAGGACAAAGAATTATTCGGTTTTTGCACAGAGTCAATATTAAAAGGGAGAAACATGTTGGGTGTGTGGATATCTGAAAAGGTTAGTATGTGTACATTACGCATCTGAAATAAAATTTTATTTTATATGAGGACTCACATAATAGTATAGTTCATTTGAAAAATACATGTAACAATTTTACTTAACTGATAAATATAGTTACATTACAATTCTGCGATAAATTTCATCTTAAGTTTTATCATAAGGTTCTTTGATACCATTTTAGAATGTTTGCCTAATTGAACACTGAGAAGCTATGTATAACGGATGGCTGGCGTAAATTGATAGGCATGCGAAGGTAGGCCTTTGTTTTTATTCATATATGTATTTGTCTTTACGTTGATGATTTATCCTTACTCAGGATCCCTCTACTGAGTCGAACCCAAATTAAACAATCATGCTGTCTACTTTTAACTGATCATCTAATTTGCTATATTTGAAGCTCCTTCCTCCCTTATTTGTACTAAATGAAAGTTTGGTTTTTCATTGCAGACAACAATCGCTCGGAGCTCGAATTTATGCTTGTCCAATGAAGGTAAGCATTGTAACGAAAAAATAAAGAATTGATTGAAATGATGATTTATCCTCACTCAGGATCCCTCTACTGAGTCGAACCCAATTTAAAAACCGTGCTGCTATATCTCAACTGATTCATTATATAAAATATTTTGTTTGAAATGAATGTTTCCAGTACCCTAACCACGTTATCTCTTTTTGCAGATAGATGGAGATTACATGGGATACGAACAGCCTTGTCTGAACCATCATAAGCAGTCTAACGACAGTAAGATCTACGTGACTTGAATGACTCGCGTCTCATATCTGGCCGGGAATTTTTAATCTAGCTGCATTTCCCAAAAACTTGGGTAAATTTTGTGGACTACTAAATTTGCATCATGCCGTTTTAGTTGAAAAATTAAAATGAAATGATTTGAAATATGTATTAAATAAAAATCAAAGTTTTAATAAAATTTCATATTTATGGTTATTTCAATTCTCCACAAGAGTAAATTACAATTTTCTGCGTTGGCGTACCAGATTTGCTACCACAGCGTTCCATCTTCCGCACAACATCGGCGCCACTTATAACATGGCCGAAAACCACGTGTTTGTTATCCAGCCAATCGGTTCTATAAAAAATCTGGCATTAGAAAACATAATTTTCCTCAAAGAATAACCTACTTTGTCGTGCAAATGAAGAACTGTGAGCCGTTTGTGTTGGCTCCTGAATTTGCCATTGATAAAGTACCAAAACCATTGTGCTTCAACGTGAAATTTTCGTCGGCGAACTTCTTCCCATATATAGATTTTCCACCAGTGCCATTGTTGTTTGTAAAATCGCCACCTTGACACATCTACAGGGAGATACTATCATTTTTGTTTTTAATTCTGGAAAATATTTGTGCTACATACAAATTCTGGTATGACGCGATGAAAAGTGCTGCCCTTATAACCGAAGCCTTGCTCATGCGTGCACAGCGCACGAAAATTCTCCGCCGTCTTTGGCACTACATCAGCGCGTAACAGCATAATGATTCGTCCTACATCGTGACCGCTAATCCGTATGTCGAAGAAGACTTGTGGGTTACGCTGCTCTGCTTTCTCGATAACCGCTGGCCCGCTCGGTTTGCTATTAGACACTTCACCACCTTCGACAACAGCAGTACCACCTTCAGATGTTTCAGCCTCATCCCCTTTCAATGTTGCGCCGGCATGTTTCTGTAACCATTCATCTTCCGCCCAAACAGGTTTGAAGCTGCCCTCTTTGATGCGCACTGGCTTGGCGAGATTTACGCGTATCGTGCGACCGCAAAGTTCCGAATCGTTCTAATAAATTAATTTATTAATCAATCAATTCGTTCCTTCTTTTTTTAACCTACCATATTATCTATTGCAGCAGCAGCATCTTCCGACATTTCATATTCGATAAATGCAAATCCGCGATGCTTTTGTGATTCATAGTCGACCGGCATTTGTATATCAGCAATGTCTCCGAAGGGTATGAAGGCATCATTCAATAGCTTTTCGGTGACTTCATCTGCTAGCGCACCCACATATATGGTGCGTTTATCATTGGACATTGTTTTAAATATGGATAATTTCAATTAAAATTTACTTGGCGAAAATCACGAATGTAAACAAAACAAAACTAAATGAAATCACAAATGTCAATAAGCTGTCAAAATTTGGGACCAAAAATGCACTACCGGAATCGGGACCAAATTAATTCCTTCATACAACAGTTTTACGACCACTCGTGTTGTCAATCAAGACATCCGCCCAAAGACCGACATACTTCCGCAAGTTTACACAAGTTTATCCAGAGGAAGCTTGAATCGGTTGAAGTAATGCCTTGGTTATAATGGAAGTAACGGGACGGAGTGAACTTTCACTTAATTATCTATTGCATGGGAAATGAATGCAAATGGTTATAATGCACGTAAACGTAACGTAAAACGGAACAATCTAAAATCAATAGATCCTTACGAATTCGACGCAACTTGTTACGATTCGCCCCGTCCATTATAACCAAGGCATAAGTTACGTGAACAAGCTCACGGTGACGGTGCCGCAAATGTTAATTCGACTCCCAACTTTGCTTATGCGTTTGCGTCAGTGTTTTGTTTACATGTTAATTTGTACATTTTAATATTTATAGAAAAACGAAATCGAGCCCTAACCACCAAAATAACGTAAGCGACATTTTTTTCAAAATTTTCTTTTTGATGCAGAAATGCATCCAGATGCTCTAGGAATATTTCTGCTTACGTTATTTTGGCGGTTAGGGCTCGAAATTTAAAAAATAATTGACGAAAGCCTAACTGCCATACCTAAACGAAAGCGTCAGCGTTGTCTGGCTGTCAAAAAATTCTCATGCCCATACAATTTGTATGAAGCATACCGAAACAACGCGGCGTCAACGCTGAGCGGTTGGAAAATCCGATTTTGACAGGGCGTTAGGAATTGAAGTTGGCTGCAGAAAAGGGCGAAACTGTCATTTTCGTGTTACACACAAACAAACATATGCTTATTGTTGGTGTTATTTCTGTATTTGACGTAGCGTTGACGCTTTTGTTTAGGTATGGCACTTCGGCGCTAACGCTAAGTGTCAGAAACCGCTCCGCCCAACGCTTTTGTTTAGGTATGGCAGTAAGAGAAGAAGTGGAAAAGTAAAACGCAAATTTTGCACAGAGTATCAGCCAAGGCGAATTTATACGCCTTGGTATCAGCATATTTATGATTTTACGGGACACTTTTCTGACAGCTCAACTCCACCATTTAATACAAAAAATTCTCAGAGAATTTTTATTCATGATAGGAGGAAAAGGAAAAAAGAGAAAACTCTCAGGGAGTTTCTGTTCCTGCCTGTGTTATTGTACAATTATTCGTTAAGTATGGCGAAAACTGGGCAATTTTTAGTCATTTTGGTGCACAGATCGTGCTGTAAAATATGGACAAGAGCGTGTTTGAATATCCTTTTTGCGTTTTAAAGCTGAGACTATTAAAATATACAGCGCACATTCATATTTCTTGCACATCTTTACTTGAGCACCATTTCTTAAAAATAAAGTTTGCGCAATTTTATTGTGTAATAATTTCCACAATATTGGCTTGTACAAGTCTCGGGTTGCACAATGATTTTATGTGGTTTAGGGGCACTATAAGAACTAATTTGTCAAACGCAACCATGAGTTCTGGACGTCAGCTGTCCCAAAAATTATTGGCAAGAATAAAATATATTCTGATTAAATTCCTGCCTTTTTCGATACAAAAAAAAATATATATATATATATATTTTCTTAAGTGCTTTGTTTTTCAAATGGTTTAAAATATTAACTAATGCTAGTACATAATAGAAATACATACAAATATATGCACATATAAAAAAAAGTATATCTGATACAATTACATACATACATTTAATTCAAATTAGACCTATTGTTTAAAGCTACATATAACCTGTGGCATATTTTTCTTTAAATAAAACTTTCCACAAGTAGTCCATATGAGTCCTGCACCAACGTACCGGTTAATGCATTTAACAGCATTCTCGTTAATGAAAGCACATAAATTACGCCAAGTATGACAATTGAAGCGCAAAGTAGAAGTAGAATATCTATAAAAAGTAGTAATGTTAATTAAAATCTTTAAAATACTCACGTAGAATGTGATCTGATAAATTTAATTTAATTTTAACTTTTAGGCTACAATGGGCCTTATGAATAAAAAATAAGTAATTGCTTTTCAAATTTCAGACCTTTTACTCTAATTTATTTGTATAAATCGAGTAAAAGGTCTGAAATTTTAAGAAAAAAAAAAAAATCGCTATGATTGAAAATTTAACAGATGGGTTATATATGCACGTATGCCTGTATTTGAATTTTACCCACAAACTAAATTGACCATTGTCATTAAAGACCGATCGATTTGATAGCAGTATTAATACATAATTTAACGATAGCGTTAAAGACGGCAGCTAGTTAATTGCGAGTCGCGTCAAATATCTTATATGAAAATTCTGATAACTTATCAATCAGTGCACAGTAACATATAGGCTGCGTTTCTTTATACATTCCGGATAATCCCATTTCACAGCCGGAATAAACACAAATACGTTTGAAATATGCGTCAACATATCATCAGGAACGTTCTAAAGAATAAATAAACAAAAAAGTTTATTCCAAACGTTCAGAATGAATAAAGAAATGCAGCCATAGAGTAACTGGTCAAAGTAATGATAAATGCGTATAAATCAAAAGTCAAAGCAAGCTGACGCATGCTATGGCTAAAAAAAAACGTATGAAATACTAATTCGTCCTAAATTAATGAAAATGCCGGTATAGGGGGGACTTTAAGAAATTGCAGCTGCGTAGTAATTGAATGAAGAAAATTAAATTTTGATGTACATATCTATTCTAATCAGAATAATTTATTGCCTATACAAAAAAAAGGTTTACGCGTCCTTTTGCTTTATTACCAATCATTAGCTAATTCGCTTGTAATAAAGGTCTTCCCTTATCAAGGAAAACAAAGTTTTGTTGCCTATATACTATGACATATGCACTCGTGGGCGTACGCAAGTACAGAAAATTCCAAAGTTTCATTAGGGGTATTCACGAACCGGTGCATGCGGTCTAGCATAGTGCTTAGATAGCATAAATAGCATGATTGTTGTTGTTTCATGTGTTCAAACAACAACAAGATTAGCCAATCATGCTATCTATGCACCTTGCAAGACAGTATGCACCGGATCGTAAATACCCCTATTGTAAGTTTCTTTCTATGAATTCATAAATCAATTTCCAATTCAAAAAGTGTATGCAATAAATCTGTGTTCGTATGGAATAGTAGCTTAAGTCGAGAAGCTGGCTTTAGTATAATGCGGCATTCCCTTAATTCTTTAAACCACGAGGAATTTTTTGATGAGACTTTATAAGAATATTGACTTGATAGTATCGGTACTATTTCTCGCAAAAGTTCTTCAACCGCTTGGCGCCGGTGAGTCATTCGCAATCGTATGCTGCGAATGCCGTATTATACTAAAGCCAGCCTTTCGACATAAGCCACTATTCCATACGAACACAGAACATTTTATTAACTGTGAACGACCTTTTCAGCGTACTTTTTTTTAGTCTGATAAACAGTCATTTACTTAAAAACAAAGTAAAATAATTATTATCTTTTAATATTTTCTCTTAGTTTGTACTTGAATTTAGTTTTAGGTATGCTTAGCGTTCAGACAAATTTAATCACTGTGAGCATTATTTTTGTTATAATAAAAAAAAACTACGAAATTTGCAATCACTTTTCAAAGCTATGCAAAAAAATGTTGATGTTTATAAGTAGAAATCGCTATGCGACGTTTAACCATTACGGTACCGTAAGCCTACTATAAAAATATACACCACGAAATGAGAACCTGCACCTTATTTTTAAGTTGAAAAAAAATCAGATTTTTTCTTAGAAAAATAAAAATGAAAAGTATTTTTTAAGAATTTAATTTCTTCACATTTTTTCCCCGTAAAATAATTGTTTCTTTTTGAAAAATTTCTTTTGCTTTTAATATTTTTTTTTAAGTAATTTTTTTATAATAAAATATTTTTTCAATAGATACGTTATTGTTTACAGTAATTTTATACTAAAACTTACTCTTTCTTTCTTAAAATTTAATTTTTTTCTAAAAATGAGATTTTGCTAAAAGTGTATTTTTTCGTAAAAAATTTACTATTTTCTATAAATACTTTTTTTACATTTGGTTTTTAATATTTAGTAAATTATTCTAGTTTTAGTATATTTATTTATGGCTGCAGGATCTTAAGATTCTTGAAAAAAGCATATAATAAAAACTTTTTTAAAGGGCTTACCGCCCTACAATTAAAAATATACACGACGAAATGAGAACCTTCTTTTTTGGAGTTAGCAAGAAAACCTAATATTTTCTTAAAACAGGGATTGAAAAAACTTATTTTTTAGAATCCAATTTACACAAACTTTTGTGTGGAAAAAAAAGTTACAAAGGTTTGTTTCTGTTAAGATAATTTTTCTGTTTTTAGTAAACATTTTTAAAGAAATTATTTTTTTCTATAGATATGTAATTATTTAGAGTAATATTTTTTTTTAAATTACTCCGTTTTTTAAGTTTTTTTCCAAAAATGTTGTTTATTTATGTTTTCTTAAAGTGCGTTTTTTTCTAAAAATTAGGTTTTTCCAAAAGTGTGTTTTTTAATTATGGGTACATTTTTCTAGTTTTAGTATGAATATTTGTTTTTAAAACAGAAAACTTTAAATCTTATTTTCAACTTACGCGAGAACACTCGCTCCCAGGGCTCACATATCGAAATTTGTGTATTCATTTCGTAGAGCATGAAAAGCCATTTAATGTAATTAAATGCCCGTTGAAAAATATGCTGTGTCTTCAAAAACATTTTTGGCGCTTTTAATTGGCAGCAACACCAAAATAACTTTAAGGAAAAAGTATATATATAAAAAAAAGTTTGTGCAAACTTCTTTTGAGCTCGACGCCGATGCGCAGACGAATTTTCCAATATATTGAAAAAATTGGTTAGCACTGCTACTTAGTATGCAATTTTAGTTTAGTATTTTCATACTTTGATGTGTTTTTGAATTAATATTGGTTTTAGTTTGATTTTTTTTGCAGTTTTGTTTGAGTTGTTTAATACTTTTTTCAAACGCGTTCAGTTAAACGCCAAAGCTTGATATTAATTTCAGACTAACGCATAGCAAGTCCACTCGCACCCTTTCAACTGATGGTTGTAAAATATTTTATAGCCACATTGAAGAAACAAAAAATAGATAACTACCTTGGATTTGTAGCTTATCAAACAACACACCGTTTATTTTATTTATTGGTGCATTTGTTATCTTTGCCGGCTTTCCGTTGCGCATCGTTTGATTAGAAAAAAAAATGTTTAAAAAATAACCACCAAGCCTGCAAAGCTATCAGGCGATCAAGGCGATTTTGTTATGAAATTTGTACTATACCTAGTATGTATGTACTTATGTATGAATAGGTTAGTTATGCATGTAGTAGGTCTTATGCCAACAAGCGGCATTTTCTGCACTATTTTATTAGGAAACCCTTTATCAGTAACAGCGAACCATTTTTTTTTCACGGAAAAATAGATAAAATTATATTTGCAGGCCTGTAGATAAAAATAAGTATGTAAGTATGTATGTTATATTCAAATTTGATTTTTAAGTCTATTTTCTTTTCATTTCAAAAAAGAGTTTTATTTATCATTACGCAGGACCAAAAAAAAAAATCGATGAAAGGTTCTTTTGACCAGACCAGGTGTTTTATATGTTTTTGGGGTCACTGAACACGAATCTGTAGTTCTCAATAAACCTGGCGGATTTTATGTGACAGACAAAATTTTATAACTATTCATGAATTTATTTAATCTTGGCAGTCAGGAGTTTTTAGGGTCGCTTATTACGAATATGAAGTAAAACTTTCAAACTCTAAAATGACGGATCGAATTAAAAAAAATATACATATTGAATTTGAAAGTAATCGAATAACATAAGAAATTTTTGGAAATTTAAAGTCAGTGGTCATGTTTTAAAACACCTTTTGGCTTGAGATTCGTAATCAACAACCTCAAAAACCTATATGTACGTACCACTTTTTATATTTTTTATTTTACCCTCTATATACAAAGTTTTATATAAATTTAATGATTGCAATTCGCAATTTTGAAAATCGAACTTTAAGTTCGTAATCACCGACCTCGAAATCCCCCGGATACCAAGTTTTATATAAATTCGAATTTTTTTAATTTCGGTTGCCACATAAGCTCCTTCATATTGGTTTTAAAAAAACTGACTTCACATTCGTGATCAGCGACTCTAAAAACCCCTGGATTCCGCTGGAACTTTTGAGGTTAGAAAAAAATCTTGACGCGATGGACCAAACCGGACTTCAAAAATATGGATACAAAAGAGGTGGCCTAGTCAAAATAAACTTTAATCGATTTTTTTTTTGTAGTCCCGCGTTATTAGTCCCACCTCAAAACATTTAGTTTATGCATAAAATTTGACTTACCTGCAGTCAGCTCTCTGCAAATCTTTCATATATTGACACGCAAAATATTGTTCTTATTTCTATTAAAACCGATTTGGTATTACCGATATGAGAAATATCCACACTGAGAGCACATCGTTGGGATAAATGTGGATGTGTGTTGCCAAACAAAATTCGACACGTTTATCTGTATTCAAATGTATGCCAGTGGACTTGATACGCTCCGAAATTGATGTTAAATTTGTGTAGGGAAAGTTGAGCGCATAACCGTAGATCTGCATGAATGGAAAATAACGACGAAATTAAAATTTTGTTTAATTAAATTGGGTTTGGTTAGATTTTATTATGGTAATTGCATGTTGACAGTAATACTTAAAGGCAAATGTTTATAGAAAAAGACCTGCCGTATTTCCACTTGGCATAACATGACGAAAATTTTAATCACAAGGTTGGGCATTAAAAACCCTCGTGTCATGACGTTAATATGTACTAGGAGTATCGGTTACTGTCGAAATTCCACCGGCTTTTTGTAGTGTTTTTTTTTTAACAATTTCTCTATAAAGCATATTTTTATAAAAACTTGATAGTCAAACTACCCAATCCTGAAAAAATTTCAATTTTGAAACCACAAAAATTCTCTTGGAAGATGCAAAAAACAAAAAAAAGCATTTCTAGTTCGCTTCAAATTTCAGAACTTTGTCTTAAGCTTAAGATTAACCGGAATCTTAGCCTTTTTCGTATTCGTATTCATATCCGTTTTCACTTTCGAAAACTTGTCAAACTATTCTTCCAAAGTCTAACCGACAACTAACAGGTGGGAAATAGGAACTTTGCAAAAATGCACAATGAGGATTGGTTACTCCTTAACTGTAGATCATATTTTTTACACAACATTTCAGCTCGTGAAAAACATGTTATTTTTCTACTGCTTCAAAATTTATGTTGAAACTGGAATTGTCCCAGAATTAAGTCCAAAAAATATGTAGACCTTTTTAATTACCTTATAATTAGGGAACTCGGCTGCTATTTGATCTGCATATTTGGCCTCCGCGTATGAACCATTACCGGAAGTACAAAACTGCTCCAAGTTCTGAAGAATGCTTTGAAGACGTGGCTGAAAAGCGCTGGTTTATGTAAGAGTTCGAAAGAGGTTAAACTAAGGTAAACAGCTGGACTTTTTTTAATTTTGGAAAAATTTAAAATTTCAAATACACTTTCTTCCCACCACAACTTACCGATTCCAAATGGTCTTACGCATTGCGCGCCACGAATTTATTTTCTTCATTACTTTGCGCTCAATATTGCGCTTCAATTCAAAAGTATTGCAGCTAAGCTGATAGCTATAGTTCAACTTTTGTACGCCACCTAAAGGAGCAGGGTTGCGTTTACTGAAGGCTGGCAGCCAAAAGGATGCATCGTTGAAATTAAAATTTGTCATTGTCACGCGTGATTCAGCCTGTATGTTGCAATATAACTGCAGACAATTGAGAGAGATAAACTTTTTTTAGACACAGTTCGGCAATCACATTCCTTCGAACGCACACACACTTACATTGTCCTGCGCCACCACAAGGCATATCTTATAAAGCGGACAAAAGGCATCACGTGTGCCATAACGCTTGGCAGTGTACGGATCGATCAGTAGCAGCTCACCCTCCTCACTTCTAAACAAAACAAAAGCACATTCGCCATACGCTGCCGCAAAGCCAAGCACCAACCAGCAACTCAAACCAATGCTGAGCAGGAAATTACACAGCAGCACACCCAAATCCTTCACCGTACCCCAATTGGTATCCAGTACACACTGATTGTTTAGCCAAATACCTTCGAAGGATGCACAAGGATCGAACCCCTTCAACACATTCAGCTGCGCGACAAAACGGCAGACCAGCTCCAATTGATGTTCGCTCGTCTCCAGCGGCAGTGGTACTGGCTCTAGGAGACGCGTCAGGCATACACGCTTACCCTTGGCTGTGCAAACCAGCGGTTCGATGTAACGTTGTGGACGCAGCTCCTGCACTTGTAGGCACCATTGTTGCAGCTGACGACGCACCTCTTTCAGTTCGGCGCATTCGAGGCAAGCGGTATTTAGACGCGGCAGCGTTACATGCGGCTCAATGCTCATGTAGTACCAGAGGCGTACGGTTTCTTTGATTTCGGGGAATTGCTCGATGGTTATATTGACGTCAGCTTGCGAAGTGATGTGTTCCAACGTGGGTTGTTTGTAGCCGAGCAGCACTTTGGGGGTATTGAGTTCGAGCACACCCTCAAGCTGGAAACCGAGAAAAATAAAATAAATGGCAGCGAGTTGGGAATCGAACTGCGTGTGAGACATTCTGCAAACCTTTTGCTGCGACAGCAATGCGTGGATCGGAAAACGATATTCACCCAACCAATTGGTTTGTATGCGCTGATAAATATCCATATTGCGCACGCTAAGATCCTCGTTAACGTGGTTCTCGACCACTTCGTCGAAAAGTGAAATCTTGAGATCATCGCGCAGATCAGCTAAGCTACCGCTGGTGGAACAGAGTAGTTATGAAAACTTTATGACAGGCGTAGAAAATTATGTAGGCCATCAAGTACCTTAACTCTAAAATAAGCTGTTCATTCCATGTCGGATTCGAGCCCTCGACAGTTAGCGAGCGACAAAACTTGTCATTGTATCTCAAAGCGATGAAAGGTCGGACGTTGGAGTATTTATAAACTAAAAACAATATCGAAAGCTTAAAGCGCTTTGAAGAAAAGTGTCTGCGTCGCAAACTTACGTTGACTCACGAACATATTTGGGCTTTCGTTACTGCGCTCTTTACTCTCGCTATCCGCTGAGCTCGGCATGCGCACCGGTATCCCAGTGGCGCGCACAACATTCAAAACGATCCTGAAGTTTTGGCAAGCATTCATATCCAATGATAGCGCATGCGTTACGACCGGTTGTTGGCTCAGTGGCGCTCTTAGTGTACGTTTCGGGTTGAAAATTAAACTTAAAGCTTGGAAGAAAGTGCTGTGAAATGTAAAAAAGGGAATTCATCAGAAAAATGCACAGCAGTCGCACCTCTCCGTGACGCACCTCCAACTGGCCGGCACATCTCCGATCAGTAGTTGTTCCACACTCGCAGCTGCTGTGCTCAAACGTGCGCACTGGCTACGTATCACTTCATAAAGTTCCTTCAGATATTTCTTGCCCTCATGCTTGTGCAAGTCGATCGCATCCATCCAATCGCCTGCTTCAATGACCGCTTCCTCCTTGTCGGGCCAATCGAATTCGAGCTCATTGTCGAGCGGTGCTATGAAGCGCAGGTCACGCGTGCGTGCATCATTTTTCAAATAACGCGAACGTAGCAGCTTGTAGCGCCGATTGTTTTCTAACTCTCCAACGGCGCAGAATTGTAGGAGTTCCTCTTCAAACGTGCAGGTGCGAATTGGCTCGGTTAGTGACCTTTCTGTGGGCTCTGCTGCTTCAGTTGTCGTCTCGTCTTCATCGACATGTGAAACATTTTCGTCAAACTCCGCAAACAACTGTTCCACTTGCAATTTTCGTGCACGTGCTCGAATTGAAGGTGAGCTTGTTAGCGACTCGGCGGCGGTTGTAATGCTTGGCACATGCCAGCGAGCACCGAAATCCGTCTGCTCCTCGCATTGGAAACGTATAGTGAGGCGACCGCTAACCTTAGGCAGTTTTTGCGTCTCAAATGTGACGCGTTGCTCCTCCGTGTCAGCAGTCTGCAGCGCGTGCGGTACTGGCACTTGGATGTCAACAACTTTGCGCGCCGCATGCAGCCGGAACTTTTCGTAGAGCTGCAAAAAGCAACATTTAAAAGTACAGAATAAAATAATCGCCGCCTAAGCACAGCCTCTTTATTTACCGCTACGCGTATGTCTCTTGGCATACGACGCTCCAGAAACACGCCAAACACCTCGTTTATTGGTAGCCGTAAATCGGGTTCGATGCGATAGCTCCGCGTTGCGCTAACAAACTCGCCATCGAAATATATTTTCATAAAGAAACTTTTTAGACGCCGCAGCCCAGGCAGATTGTAGAACTCCTCATTGCAGACGCGATGTAGTTGCACATGGATCTTGGGTTCGCCCGGCACGCACAAGCACTCGGCCAGCTTGGCGCGCAGTTCCGTGGATAGCTGCGTGATGTCCGGTTTGCGTGGCTTCACCGGAAGCTCTGCCAAGTCCGCCTTGCGATCGCGCGACTTCCACAGTCGCTTGGCGCGATAGTAAATCTCCAACTCTTCGCGATAAATCTCATTCAAATCCGTTTCGAAACGTTCCGCCCAGCGATGACTTTCCGCCGCCGCATTGGTTGCATCTTCCTCCACTCTGATGCGCAGCTTGAAGCGCGTGCACTGATACGCCTGCGTTTTCCGTAGCTGCTTCAACCGCACCCAAATGTCGAGTATATCTTTTAGTAGCCGCTTGGAACGCGCCTCTTCCGCATAGAGCGTATTGCGTAGCACACGCACACCGTGCAGCTGCTGCTCGAGTTTGCGCGCACGCCGCTCTTTTGTGCTCGCCAACTCTAGCTCAGCGCTGCTGTTCGCCTCGCGCTGCAGCAGCTCATTTACTACACGGCGCTCCGTTTGCAGCTGTGCGCGCAGTTTCTCACAAACACGCTCCTGCTGGCGATGCGCATACTGCTCGTAAAGCTCCTCCAGCTCATTTGAGATACGGTGTTCTTCCAGCAAATGTGGATGCGCGGTGAAGAGCAGCTCCTTCAAGTATATGCGCACGAATTTGCGTGTGGGTATCTCGTCCGGTTGTCGCGTTGGTTCGCAGAAGATCGGATGAAATTTGTGGGTGCAAAAGCTGCGATAGAGCGTTCGGTCTTTCATATAAAGCGACGCGCCCGATTGTACGCGCTTGAGCTGTTCCACTAACTCTTTGCACACCGGCTCATCTCTTGCGCGCCGCTCTGCTTGATAACGGTTGAGCATGCGACATGTGTTGGCGCGCAATGACTTTAGCTTACCAGCATCTTCAGCGGTACGTGCAGCCAAGGCGATATCCGGCATGAGAGTGGTGCCAGGTTTGAAAAGCAACGTAGTGTCTTGCATAAATTTGTCAGCCGCACGCAGTCGTACTAGCACATCTTCATCCACTTGTATATATGTAGAAGCGGTGTGTTCACGTTGCTGCGTAGATGCAGCTGAGGCGGTGTGCTCGCTGCCGCTGGAGGAATCATCGTCCTGCGTATCGGCGCCTGTTAGGTCATCCTGCGATGCGTCCTCTTCCGCCTCCTCAGCATTTTCATCAATACTTCCTTCATAACTATCCCTTTGCCGCTGGATGTGCTCTCGTTTCAATTTCAACTTACGCGTTGCAGAGCTCGCTGTTTGTATCAACTCCTCCTCATTGTTGCGGCAAAAGAAGTCCAAACTACGTACTAGCTCATCTGCGTGACGGGATTGCGGGCTGCTGTCGATCGAAAGACTTGTGTTTTCCAGCAGCAGTTGCACCTCACGCTCGTTGTCCTGGTACTCGCGGCTGGGTCGCGATTTGCGACGCTTGGACTTTGTGCGACTGGTTTGCGTTTGGTTCTTTAGCCGTTTGCCCTTCGCTTGCTTCTTTCGGCGTTGAGCTTGACGACCGCTCATTATTCGATTTTTTTTAAATTAATTTCAATTTATTTAGTCAACGTGGAAACTTTCACAATGGAAGATTTGCATTTGTTGTGTAAAGTGGAATGTTTGCCCGTTTTAGTGGGTTTCCAAGGCAACATCGTGTGAAAAGCACAATTGTTCGTNATTGCTTCTTTCGGCGTTGAGCTTGACGACCGCTCATTATTCGATTTTTTTTTAATTAATTTCAATTTATTTAGTCAACGTGGAAACTTTCACAATGGAAGATTTGCATTTGTTGTGTAAAGTGGAATGTTTGCCCGTTTTAGTGGGTTTCCAAGGCAACATCGTGTGAAAAGCACAATTGTTCGTATGGGATGAATGTGGTATATTTTTATTATTGATTAAAGTAGTGTTTATGAAGTTTATTTTTATGTAGTTCATCCATGAAACCGTAGAAGTTCCTTTCCTGTTGTTTTATATGCTGCTGAAGTTAATGCAAAAATTACTTTTTGAAATGNGTTGATTAAAGTAGTGTTTATGAAGTTTATTTTTATGTAGTTCATCCATGAAACCGTAGAAGTTCCTTTTCTTGTTGTTTTATATGCTGCTGAAGTTAATGCAAAAATTACTTTTTGAAATGGCTGTTAGCGTCTTTTGATTTCGAGCCAAATCACAGTTGAGACTTTTAAAGGTAACGTGAATCTCCTTGTCCCCTACTGGAGGCCGATAATCAATACCTTAAAAAATTGCCCATCAGGCAGCCTGGACTCTGATGTTGTTATTGTATTAATCAAGGCTATCACAGAATCCACTGAAGGCCGATTTTTTCGTGGCTGCTGGCTGCTGAAGTGTGTATTTCCCCAACAGACTCAGCTATACTAAGAGTAAAACTCCAAAGCAAGTAATTTTAGCTATTCAGCGCTTTACTGAGATACACGCTGAAAAGCACTGATTACCTGAAAAATCGGATGTAAGAGTTCTAAGCTATTCCGCTAATGCAGATAGCAGTTACACTCCGGTTAAGACATTCACGAATTCAGCGTTGCAACGACTGGTTATAGTTTATGATTATATTTAACAATTTTTATTGAGCTTGGGGCCATTTATAATGAAAAACTTATTGTGGAAAAGCAACAATAATTTCAAAAAATGGTACAAGTGATAGCTATTTCGGAAATCACCACATTTCCTCATCAGACTTCTTTCAGTAGGATTCGAACCGACGATCCCACTGACTCAGCCAGTTGCCTACGCACTGTGCTAAGTTCGGCTTGTGAATTCTTGTTGCTTTTTTCCACTAATTCATTTGTTGAGCCAACTACAATCAAGCGCAGCTATTCCGGTGCAATTTAAACTTGATAATTTCGTTGTTGGTTTTGCTGGTTTTTGTTAATAATTCTATTATTAGAATGTTTAACTTTTAGGAGTCCTCGTTCTTAAGTTATTTGTTTTTGCTATTTTATGGCCTTGTAACAATTATATTCAACAATTTTTATTGAGCTTGAGGCCGTTTTTAATGTAAAACTTATTGTGGTTTATAATTATAGATTACTTCTGGCTATCTTATAAAAAATTGGTAGTGTTGTTTTATAGTTCTTTGGCGTCCCGCTCCCTTGAATCGACCGAAAATATGCCACTCCACCTTCTAGTTGTATGCAATGTTATTTCTAAGCGACACGCGAGAGAAATCTAGGCCTAATGTGGCCACAGCACGAACACACTCACTCCATAATACACTTCTAAACTTTGTGAGAAAATGTTCTATACTATATGTAAAGTAACAATTTCAAATTAATAATCATTAAGTTCGTACGAAGCCTTGCAAGTTGCAACACTTAAAGATAATCATTTATTTTATTTTCAACGAATAAGCAATGCAACTCTTCGCACTTGCCTTTCTTCACGAAATTTGCATACTGAATAAAAGATACACAATTTTTTTTTGTTTTTTTTTTCGTTTTTCTTTTGCTTATGGCATACAAATATAGTGCAAATTTATATTTAATTTTGTTAAAAATCAGCATAATGAGTACAGCATAACTACCAGTATAGACATTCACTAGATTTGTTAACATTTTATAAGAAAATTACGGTCCTATATGTATATACTACGTAAATGTGTACTTGTACGCTTCAAGTAAAATTAAATACAAAGAAAAATAAATTAACAAAATGTATAGGTATTTAGATAAATTTTAAGGCTTTATACTGTAAAAATTACTATACAAAACAGTGTTAAGGGAGGGAAGAACGTGGAAATCGTCGGATAGCTGTTATTTGGCAGCTTACTGTTAATTTTGATTCGAAAAAATTACAATTACAATTTCAGTTAAAGATAAGTCCAATATTGAATGCAATGTTAATAAAAAAAATAAAAAATCGGACGCACTTGTGGTATCTTGTGCGTCGGCAACGCGTGCAGCGTTAGAAGTTAGTATGCCAAATGCGTCTGAAAGAACTCTTGTATAAATATAAATAATAAAAACAAGCTGGTACACGTTTTCTTCGCTTGTTTTTCTTCTTATTGTGTTTGTTCAATCAGTGCCTTGATGACCTTTATATTTATGTAGTATTTATTGTTGTTCTTTTTTTTATGAAAAACTACGCCTTTGTAAATCAATTTCAAAGGCGTATGCTTTTTTGGAAAATCGCAAACCTGTTGGTCGACTACTCGAGCACAGTTACTTCTTCCTTGACTAAAAATTCAACGACTTCTTCATCAACTTCCTCGGTATCCAAACTGTCAGTGTCAACGTCTGTATTAAAAAAAAAAAAAAAGCACACATATTAAGTTCATTCAACTGTTTTATTTTTGGCGTTTTAAACTTACGATTTCTGAGCTGCATACGGCGGCTCTTCTGCTCCTTCCATTCCGCAATACGCTTGTTGCGGTACTCCATAAACTGCTCGCGCAATTGTGCACGCTTCTCAAGTAGTTCCTTCGAAGCACGTGTAAGACGCAAGCGATCCTTTTGTTCAAATATTGGGTAGTATTTCTTCAAGCTCTTTTTGATATCCTTTTGTTGTGCTTCCGTTAACAATGTGGGTGGACGAGGGCGCCATAAAAATTGTACGAAATTCTTCAATATGGTGCGTCGTATTATACGTCCCTGGAAGGTATACATATTGAATCCAGTATCTTCCTTTACTTTCCACGCTGATACTCCAGTCACAACGTATCTACCGGTTGGGTCCCATTCGACTTCAGAGGCGCGGAAATGATCGGGCGATGCAGAGATAATGAAATCGTTATTGGTGTCCACAAATTCAAAGGTACCCATCGAGAGATTAGCCATTACAATGAATTGACCCCGTGGTGACCAGAACAAATGCGTACATGACTTCTTTTCCAACTTCTTAACAAGTGTAGGTTTTACACCTTTGTTGACCTCATAGAAGCTAACATTTGCGTTACTCTGTTCTCCATGGATAATGGAGAATTTGTTACCTATTGGTTCCCAAGCAAATGCAAGAATTAATTCGCGTATCTCCACCGAATCCACAGGGATCTCTTTTTCGCGCATATGGAAGATTTCGAAATTGTAAAACATGCCCAGGAATTTTACATCTAATTCCTTCTTGTCTTTCTTCAATTTCGAGTAGCGATCAACTTTTACGCAGAGGTAGTCACCAGATTTTTGCCAGTGTAGCTTACAGTCAGCCACATGGAAGAGGTTTTTGTTACGTATTTCACGTTTTTTGGGAATCTCCATCAGAGTGACACGAGCGGGAATTTGATTCTGTTCTTCAACCCAATAGGCAATCACATTGTCCGTAGGTGACCATGAAAATCCGCGAATACCAGGAATCTTGATTGATTTCAAATCGAGCAGGTAAAATGAGGGTGTTTCGTAAATATGTATTGAGTTGTCGCCCAAACGTGCAACAAACTTATCGTCGTGCGACCAGCGGAACATTGACAAAACAGACATGCCATCTGCGACGAATGAGCGTTTCTCAACACCCGTACGAATATCCCAAATTATGACCTTTTGACCGGTAGGCGTTGGCCCATAGGTGACAAGATAATTCTCACAAGGTGAAAACTCTACGAATTGTGTGCTTGGATGTGGGAACTTCTGAATTTTTTGAAAGCTGCTGCCTCCCCAAATTGCTACACCGGGTTTATGAAAGGTGACCACATAGGTACCCAGTGGCGACCATTTGACAAACGTATCAGTAAAACGCTCCCGAGACTCTAATTCATTGGGCTCTGGAAGTGTATTCTGCCAAAACGAAACCTGAACAGAGTTGGGCGCAGTTTCAGCGGCTACGCTGTATTGATCGTAGGCATCGGGATCAGTAATGAAGGTGTACAAATCATTCTGTACCTTGAAGGGTTGAGGAGTAGGAGGATCCCATTTTTCCGGAATATTTTCGTACCTGAATAAATATAGGAATATTTAGATGTGATATTAATAAATCATAAAAAAAGCACTTACTTCTGGAAATCGGTGAATAAATTAACGGAGAAGGTGTGGTTTTTATCAAGGCGATGGTTATTTAAGGTCTTGACCGCCTCTTCAGCCATGCTGGCGTTCTTGTATTCCATGAAAGCGTAACCCTTAGTCTTGCCTTCATCATCCACAGGGAACACTACATTCACTATTTCGCCGCATTGCGAGAACAATTTATGAATAACCGACTTCAATTTCTCCAATCGGGATGGCTCTACCTTCGGAATGTTGTCTACAACAACAACACTTTCAACACCATCCGTCTCCAGAGGACGCTGCGCCAACATATTGGCCAATAGCTCTGTAAATTACATAGTTACAAGCTTTTATATTTTTATTACAACTTATGATTAAGATTTTTGCACAAATGTCAAAATTATTCAATTTTCACTGCTTGCAACCCATTTTGAGGTTATGTTGCTAATAAGGTACTTGGCGTGCAAATTCGCTGATCAGCAGCGGTGCAGTAGTGCTGCGCTGGCACTTACCATCGTCGGGAATATCGTCGACATAGCCTTCGGGATCTTCGAAATTTGGTTCCTCTTCATAGTCCCCATCATTGCCATCGGCTCCGTACTCTTCACTTTTCTTTTTAGCCATATTGGACACAAAATTTGCACTTTTTCTAAAATTTCCGACCGCCTTCAGTCATCAAAAGTACGCACACCGAACGAAAAGAAACTATTGCTGTTAAGTTGGCTGCATTGCAAGTGGAAAATGACAGCGCTGTCAAACATCAAATGAATAAAACCCAAACCGATTCCGGAGTGTATTGTGGCGAATACTGCGGCAACATAAAGCGAACAACGAGAAATAGGNAGCTGTCAAACGTCAAATGAATAAAACCCAAACCGATTCCGGAGTGTATTTTTATCTCAAACCGTTTACATGAACCAACGACTACAGATCACCTAATCAGCCATCGTTGTATTTNTCTCAAACCGTTTAGGATGTCAGCAAAGAAAGACGTCAAAATGAAAAATAGGGGCGACAACCAGCAGCAGAGCAGTTGCAGCGCAGTCAAAGTGGGCAGACGGAACGACGCGGATCAGGAAAACTAGTGGTGGTGAAAATGTTCACGCAATTTTTTAATTAAGGAGAAAATAAATAAATTCTATAAAAATAATGTAGAAAATATCGCAATAACCCAGAGGATGAATAAAGTGAATGTTAGGTATGAAAATTGCAAATGCAAATTAAGTGAGATGTTAAAAAATCTGCAGAAGCAAAAATGAAAATTTTAAGAAGAAGAAGCAGTGGTAGAAGTGGAAAAGTTAGGAAAATTCATTGGTGGTGTTTGCTATGCGATTGCCAATACACATATGTGGCTCAGGCGTACGTTTGCTTGTGCGCGCATGAAAATTTTCAGTCTTCCTCCAAAAACGACAGTTCGTGTTATCCAATATAGAGAAAAAATTCCAATACACGCTGGGGATTGTTGAAATCGACGCGCCCAGCAGCGCTCGCGTTGACATAAGTATGCACCGCATACTAAATAATTTTTGGAAGTTTTTGTTACTTGCTTTCTAAATTTCCTGGTATCAATAACTAATGATACATATATCTTTGTATACGTATACAAAGGATAAATATGAAAAAAAGAGATATTTCGACTTGTTAAATTATGGCCCTGCCCAAGAATACCATTCAAAAAATAGATAGTCAGCAAATGCTGTTGTTGCCTGTGTCACCAAGATGTATCTGAGAAGGACATTGTTGTTAAAACTCTTTTCTAAAGTCTTTCAAACTCGAAAAGAAAGGTCCACCACACACACAAGTGTTTTACATAACAAAATAGATAACTAAAGTTTTTAGGTGCTAGAAAAAATATAGAAGTATTATAAAATAGTCGAAAATATATTCAGTCGTAATTTCAAAAGGATGAGCCGAAATTTATATGCTTTCGGGCACAAGTTTTTGGTCAACGAAAGCTGTAGCTGCAGCGGTGGCAGAGTTCGCTCTCTCGTGTCTGCGGAAATCTGCTTAAAAAGAGAGCACCGACCAACAAACATTTTCCTGTGTGTATATAAATTTCATTGTGAAAAAAATGAAGACAAAATGGCAAAGAACAGCAAAAATCTCAGCGCGGTCACAAACAATAGAAGCCACAACATTGATAAAAGCACGCAATACCAATTTGTATATCATCCTATATACACACGTATGGCTGTATGTACATTGTGCTTTTCAACAACTCCAGCAACAGCCGCAAAACACAGCAAAGCAAAAATCCCATTTACGAAATAGCAGTAAAGAAAGAAATAAGAGAAATCGCCCAAAAAATCCACTTTGTTGTTCTTGTTTCTGTGTCTACTCTTCCAATCCTGTTCATCTTTCATTTACTGCGTTTTAAGCGTATATAGCGCAGATTTTTTTGTTGTTGCTGTTGTTTTGATTTTTCTGTGATGGAGTTCGTTGGAGCAACATTTCATTGCTGCATCCACAATTTGCTGGTGGCTGCTGTTGGCTTTCTCAATTGAATGTGCGTTGCAGTCGTCGGCGCAGCAATGGCTGCCTGTCTCTTCACATTTTGGCTGTTTCGTTTTTGTTTTTGCATCTTTGCTGTCGCTTTTGGCCAAAACCACTTTGCATCGCCCACCAGTTTCAAGGCGCTGCTAACAACAACTGTAGAATTTTTCAGTGAGGTATCGGTCTGAGTTGTCATGAGAATGAGGCAGCTCTGGAATTGATGCAAATGATATAACTGAATGCCATTTCAGCGATATTTTGATTTTAATTTGTTTAGGCTGAAATGTGAACAATAGACAAGGTATTATCCCCTCCATACAGTAATAGAAGAAATAAGGAATTACATAAATCCACTAAAATTTGTAATTGCGTGTGATTGGTGAATAGCGGCGGCTAAAAACATCACCCCCCAGCAGACGACGTCCACTGTCTTCAACTTGTGCGTGCCAAAAAATGATAAAAATAGAAAATTAGTGCAACATCGGTGAAAAAAAATGAAATAAGCCACAATACGCAAAATACGCTTAATTATTCAATAAAACCACCATCACAATCATCAATACAACTCTTCGCTAGTCGGCGTCAGTCGGTCGGTCACTGGATCCATCGATCGGGCGATCGTTGGTCAGTCACTGGTTTTCGTTCGTTAAGTCCTTCCTTTGGTCCGTTGCCAAAAATAAAAACTCCACTGTAACGTGCTCGGAGTGAGCTATATGGTTTTGTGTCTGCAGTGAAGGCGTTCGGTCGGTCCAGTCGGTTGGGTCCAGTCGGTCGGAAGTTTATGCAGCTCTGAATGTCTTTATGCTTTAATCATGGTGAAATTGACCACCGACACAATACGCTACCACATTAGAATCTTTCTGATTACAAATCATGACAGAAGGACATGAAAGGTATGTATGTAAATAACTAATAATAATAATATCTAATAGGTATAAGCAATATTTTTATTCAGCCTTATCATAAGTTTCATTTTCCCCGAACAGGATCACTTTTCACTTTGGGTTTCCATAGTTTTACTATGGGTGGATGACAAATTTTCGGGTGAATTTTTTTCAGGCGAAACTCAGAATAAGGCAGATTAATTTTTGAGTTCCATATCTAAAAGGAAAAAAATGCTCAAAAAAATTTAACAGATTCCGATTTAAAAAGAAAAAAAGCCTCACATAATGCTCTGCAAGCAATTCTTAGTAGGGAGCCACAGATGTGGACACCCGATCCGACACTTGCTTGCAGAGGAGCCCTCGCCAAGGCATGTCAGAAGGCAACTATAAGGCTGCGTTTCTCCAACTCAATTTAGTTTACCCATTTTTTGGACTTATTCGTATTCAGCATCTAGGCTAAGCCAATAATTAGCCTACGTTTTAATCAGCTTATTCTTGACTTAAGCAAACTCTGGACCCGTCATCATACCGACAGGTTTTTAGCGGTGTTCACAGGGAGCCAGTCTCAAGTTACGTAGACTCCACACCTGTGAATACCGTTCTGGGCATACAACCACCTGACGCCGACAACAATAGCCCATCTTAGCTCTGGCTACTGCAAGAGGTTAAACTCATACCTGAGTAGATTAGATGCATATGTGCCAAATGAGTGTCCGGCATGCGGGGAGACACCCTACGACTCGACACTTCTCTTCGTGTGCCCGGAAAACCTCACACGACTATCGCCTTTGTCCCTGTGGACATACCCTATAGAGGCTTCACGCTTTTTGGGGCTTCCGTGTACAGCTCTTAACGCCATAACCATTCATATAACTCCCGGTCTTAAGAGAAACCGCCCCTGTGAGAGAAAAGTCCAAGTAGCGTCAGTCATCTTCAGAGACAAAACGTCAAAACCAAATATAATTAAACAGTGGGTTCCACAGAGTGGTCTCCTTTCACAGCTTCTGCCCAATTTCTATATTTCGAAGCTCCCTCAGCCACCAGAGGTAGTCTCCATCATTTCATTTAATGACGATTTTTAACTGCAAGGAGCCTAACCCCGTCCCTTACGAAATCATCGGGAACACTTTTCAGCACGACTGTGAACAACCCGAAAATACTCCGAGTGACCTTTGCTAGTCTGCTCTCTTTCTCGGCGCACACAACCGCAATTGTCAATACTTAAGAGCAGGGTTATTGCGAATATTATTCCGAAAAAAAGTTCTTTCCGGATAATGAACAAATCTTCTTCTTCTTCTAAGCGATTTTGGCCGAGTTCAGCAAAGCACGCCAGTCGTTTCTCCTCTGTGCCAACTGACGCCAATTGGTAACGCCAAGTGAAGCCAAGTCCTTCTCCACCTGATCTTTCCATCGCAGTGGGGGCCTCCCTCTTCCTCTGCTACCACCAGCGGGTTCCGAGTTGAATACTTTCAGAGCTGGAGCGTCGGTGTCCATTCGAACGACATGACCAAGCCAGCGGAGCCGCTGTATTTTAATTCGCTGCACTATGTCCATATCGTTGTAAAGCTCATACAGCTCATCGTTCCATCGTCTGCGGTACTCGCCGTCGCCAACGCGTAAAGGACCGTAAATCTTCCGCAAAATCTTTCTCTCAAACACCCCAAGAGCCGCCTCATCGGATGTTGTCATTGTCCATGCTTCTGCGCCATATACCAGCACGGGCATGATGAGTGACTTATAGAGCGTGGTTTTCGTACGTCGAGAGAGGACTTTACTCCTGAATTGCCTACTCAGTCCAAAGTAGCACTTGTTGGCAAGAGTGATTCTACGTTGGATTTCAATGCTGACATTATTATCGGTGTTAATGCTGGTTCCCAAGTAAACGAAATTCTCTACTTTCTCGAAATTGTAACTGTCAACAGTGACGTGGGTGCCAAGGCGCGAATGTGCTGACTGTTTGTTTGATGACAGGAGATACTTCGTCTTGTCCTCGTTTACCACCAGACCCATGCGCTTTGCTTCCCTATCCAACTTGGAAAAGGCAGAACAGACTTCGCGGTTTTTGTTACCGATGATGTCGATGTCATCGGCATAAGCCAGCAATTGCACGCTCTTGTAGTAAATTGTTCCTGAGCGGTTCAGTTCTGCAGCTCTTATTATCTTCTCCAACATCAGATTAAAGAAGTCACATGAAAGGGAGTCGCCCTGTCTGAAACCCCGTTTTGTGGCGAACGGCTCGGAGAGGTCTTTTCCAATTCTGACGGAGCTGGTGGTATTGCTCAACGTCATTTTACACAGCCGTATGAGTTTTGAGGGGATGCCAAATTCAGACATAGCGGCGTATAGGCAACTCCTTTTAGTGCTGTCAAAAGCGGCTTTAAAGTCGACAAATAGGTGGTGAGTGTCGATCCTTTTCTCGCGGGTCTTTTCCAAGATTTGGCGTATTGTGAATACCTGGTCTATGGTGGATTTGCCAGGTCTAAAGCCACACTGATAAGGCCCAATCAGTTCATTGACGGTGGGCTTCAGTCTTTCACACAATACGCTCGATAAGACCTTGTAACCTATGCTTAGAAGGCTGATCCCGCGGTAGTTGGCGCGAATGGCGGGGTCACCTTTCTTGTGGATTGGGCAGAGCACACTTAAATTCCAGTCGTCGGGCATGCGTTCATCTGACCATATTCTGCACAAGAGTTGATGCATGCACCTTATCAACTCCTCGCCGCCGTACTTGAATAGCTCAGCTGGCAGGCTGTCAGCTCCAGCGGCTTTGTTGTTTTTCAGCCGCGTTATTGCTATACGTACCTCGTCATAGTCAGGCGGTGGAACGTCGACTCCGTCATCATCGACTGCGGGCTCGGGTTCTTCTTCTCCACAACTTTCCGTGCTGCTACCATTTAGTAGGGCGGAAAAGTGTTCCCTCCATAATTTAAGTACGCTCTGGACATCAGTTACTAGGTCGCCATTATTGTTCTTACAGGAGTGCGCCCCGGTCTTTAAACCTTCCGTAAGTCGCCTAACTCTCTGGTAAAATTTTCGGGCATTCCTCCTGTCGGCCAGCATTTCAAGCTCTTCGCACTCACGTATTTCTGCCTCTCTCTTCTTGTTGCGGCAAATACGTCTCGCTTCCCTCTTCACATCCCTATAGCGGTCCCACATAGCGCGCGTTGCGCCCGATCGCAGCGTGGCCCTGTAGGCGGCATCTTTTTTCTCTGCAGCTTCCTGACACTCCTCATCGTACCAGTTGTTCTTTCGGGCTCGCTGAAATCCGACTACTTCTTCGGCGGCGGTACTTAATGAGCGGGAAATGTGGTTCCACTGCTCGCATATGTCGGTTTGTTGAAGAGTGCTCTCTGAGAGCAGGTGTGAGAGTCGAGTAGCGAAAGCGCTGGCTGTCTGTTGTGATTGCAGCTTTTCGACGTTAAGCTTTCCTTGCATATTTGGGCGCACATTTTTTGCTGCACAGAGGCGGGTGCGTATCTTGGCTGCAACAAGATAGTGGTCCGAGTCGATGTTTGGGCCTCGGAGTGTGCGTACGTCTAAAACACTGGAAGCGTGCCTTCCGTCTATCACAACATGATCGATTTGGTTTCTCGTTTTTCGATCCGGAGACAGCCACGTAGCTTGATGGATCTTTTTATGCTTGAACCTAGTACTGCATACTACCATGTTTCGGGCCCCGGCGAAGTCGATCAGCCTCAATCCGTTGTCGGACGTTTCGTCGTGGAGGCTGAATTTTCCGACGGTGGTTCCAAAGATCCCTTCTTTGCCCACCCTGGCATTGAAGTCGCCAAGCACGATTTTGATATCATGACGGGGGCAGCGCTCGTACGTGCGCTCCAAGCGCTCATAGAAGAGATCCTTGGATGCCTCATCCTTCTCTTCCGTCGGGGCATGGGCGCAGATGAGCGAGATGTTGAAGAATCTCGCTTTGATGCGGATTGTGGCTAGACGCTCGTCCACCGGGGGGAACGACAGTACTCGGCGACGGAGTCTCTCTCCCACCACAAATCCAACTCCGAATTTGCGCTCCTTTACATGGCAGCTGTAGTAGACGTCGCAAGGCCCCAGACATTCTTTGCCTTGCCCCGTCCAACGCATTTCTTGGATGGCGGTGATGTCAGCTTTTGTCCTTACGAGGACATCAACCAGCCGGGCAGAGGCACCTTCCCCATTAAGGGTCCGGACATTCCAGGTGCATGCCCTCAAATCGTAGTCCTTTAAACGTTTGCCGTGATCGTCATCATAAGGGGGGGGTCTCATCATTGCTGGGACAGGGGTGGTTTCGCAACCAAATACACGTTTATATAGCGAGCCGCTTGCTCCAAGCAGACACCCGCTTGCAGCCGCACCTACTGGTGAACAGACGCTGCAGACTTCAGTGAGCCCTTAAACCGAATAAGTCGGAGTGGCCCCACCGAAGCTCCCTCTCTTTCTGCCGTGACCCAAGGCTCCACTCGGATTGGTTACCGCATCTCGCACATGGATTGCTCACGTTGCCCAGAGTGCGCGAACGAGGACACAAGAGTCGGGATTGAGTATAGCCATGCAACTGTAACTGCATACCCAGCGCAACGACTATACCCCATTGCACTCCATGAACAAATCGCTTATCCAAATCAAACAAGTTTGGTATCAAATCAAAGAGGACTTAAATAGCTTTAAAACTGAAATGTATAAACGAGCAAACCCACATACTGAAAAATACTTCAATGAAAATTTTAATTAATTACCATAGAACAAACCTTGTGTCAGGTATATTCATTTCTTTAGTATTAAATTATAAAAAAGTATAAATAGAGGTCGCTCGCTACTTCTGTTTAAAATCTATTTCAGTCCTCTTTTATATGATACCAAATTTGTTTAATTTGGACAGGCGGTTTGTTTATTATCCGGAAAGGACTTTTATTTCGGAATAATATTCGCAACAACCCTGCTTAAGAGTACAGAGCCGCAACATCGCTTGGTCGCTGGGGAGTAGTACGACGTAGTGGATGAAGCTACATTCC